CACGAACTGAATTGTTTCGCATTTTACATCCAATCTACAGCTTATTTATATATCTTATTAACCAAGCGCGAGGGCCGTACTGGGAGGGTATCGGCCCGAGGTCTTGACAGTACAGACCGAGCGCAGCGAGGTCTGTACAAAAGAGACCGAGGGCCGATATTCTTCCAGTACGGTCCCGAGCAAGCTTGGTTAATAAGAGATTTATTGTACGACTGAAGTTCAAAGGGACACAAGAGCGGTGTCATTCGGGACCATTCGGGACTGTGCCCGGTCCAATACTAAGAGAATATTGACCGGCAATAGAGCATTTTGATTGGTTGATGTTAGTTATTGGCCCTCTGACTGCCCGAGTCGTGTAATAAAACATAATTATTACATTTACAATAGACAACACATCAAGCAAGGTTGTGAAAAAAGCCTTTTATTGCGATTGCTTTTGAATTAAACTGTTCTCAAATTTTGAAAGTGAACAACAGTTTACCACTTAATTGTAAAGTGAATTCAATATTCTTAGTTTGAGGTTTTTCCCCCAAGTGCTTAATGTAATTTTGATATTACACTAACAGTCACTAAATTTGAGGAAAAAGTGCTCTTGGATTGATAATAAAATTTTTATCACATATAAACTTAACATTTTCTCTACTTTAAGAATTGTGCAATAAAAAGAATTCACAATATTCCAATCAATTAATAATAACAATAATGTTAAAGATAAATTTCTCTGTTTCTGTTTTTAACTCAACCTTATAATTTCTGAAAATTGATAAAAAATGATTTGAACAAAAAGTATAGATGTTCAACGTTTGTCACAACAGGTGATAAATCAAGTCAATACTGTTTCTGTCATTAGTTCCTGTAACTTGATTCATATCCAGATAATCAATTGTTTTACTTTCGTATTAAATTTTTGCCAACATTCAATATTTTTCTTGCAAAGCTTTTTCTCATTTTTTTAAAAGAAAATGAGCACACAGTCATGTAATTTTTACAGTAATCTCTCAGTTGGGTTCATTTTCACTTTTAGTAATTTTTTTTTAAGTTAACATTCTCTAAAAGAGATGAATTAATTCCGTAAATTTCTAAAGAAACTGTGGTGCTGCTTTGGTAAAACAAGATAATTTTGTTTTAACAAGTGTTGATAGTGTAAATTGGCCAACCTGAAGAGTTTCTGTGGCCAATGTTTTGAGTTTTAGTTCATTATCAGAGCACACACATTCTGATTTTAACTGACTTCGCCATTCCTTTTAATATTGAGACCTTGACAACAAGACGGGTTGTAACATAAGATAAGAGAAAAAATGCTCAGATCTTGGAATTGAAAGGTTGAGAAATTAAACTGCTCAATGTTTAAACCCCCCCCCCCAACTGATTCCCATTTTTTATAATTGGCCTAAATAAAAAATCAATATTTCTTATTAAATTATTATCATAATTATTTAATTGATATTGTTTTAGTTAAATCATAATTTGAGTCAGATTGTTAAATCTCAAAAGGGGTTAGAAATTTCTCTGCAGAGAAATGTCAGCCTGCGACAAAAATCCATCAGGATAAATATGTGACATAAAGAACGCTGTTTAACAAATCTGAGTCTTTTATATTAATTTTCATGTTAACAGAGCTTTCACACAATGGCAAGAATACTTTGATTGCTTATAACGCCACTCCCAAAAAGTGTTCTGTTTCCTATCACCTTCTATTTCATTAATGAAAGTTGGTCAGTTGCGTCAAAAAAAAGGAAAGAAAGAAATTGAAGTAAAGAAAAGAAAGAATTAATTGAGGAGCCTAAGTTCAAAAAGAACCTTTAGGAACCCAGTTGCTAACCAATTGTTAAAAAGAAAAAAAGACACAATCCAGTTCCAACATGATAGACAGGTAAGAAATTGGAGTTAAAATAATTTATACTCAAAACAACGTCTTGATCACCTTCTTTTAAAAATAGTGAGGCTGAAAAATTAATATACTCAACTATTCAAATTTTGCCACTTAATCAGTGAGTTTGGATTTTATTTTTCTTTACTTCTCTCTGAAATATGGGTTTGTTAGGTGGTAGAAAACAGAACATTTTATGGGATGGCCTGAAAGGAAAAAAATGAAATAAAATATTGAACTCCACATCAAAACCTTTGCTACACAGACATTACATTCTTTACATTATAGCACTGAAAGACCAAAATATTCCACCACAAACACTTGGAAGATTTTAAGCAAGTCCTTCACAACGTTGTGGTCTATACTGTAGTCAGCATCACAGCGCTTGTGCCAACATGGTGGGAATGGTAGTGAAATCAAATGCAGTATTTTAACATCTAAAATGATAAAGTCAAATAAAAATAAACATTTTGCAAACATTGCACTTTTAAGTCCGAAATGGATGCAACAAGTCACTATGGCTTGATGACAGGGAAGGAATCATAGATCTTAAAAACAAAGAAGTCTTTGCTTCATTTGTGAGCTTGCTCTCACTGTATTTTTGTGGCTCCAATGTTGTGAAATTCTCAAGCAGATAGCAAGTAAAGTCACCTCAATATCAGTCACTAGTCTCTTTCAACCCTGTAATCCGTCAGAGTGACCAGCATCTAAATTCTTCTTATTTTTATAATACTCAGTAAAACTAACTACACACCAGGCTCGGGTTGTTCAAAGAGCAGATAATGCTATCCAACAGATAAATCGCTATCCAGTGGATAAGTGTTACCAAAACGTACTGCACAATCCACCGGATAGAGATTTATCCAGTGTATAGCGTTATCCATCCTTCGAACAACTGGGGCATGATCAACAAAGAAGTCATTTATTATCCAACTGCTTTCTCTCATAGGCATTTCTTTTAAGGCAAGAAAAGCCACAGAACAGAAATGTAGTTTGCGACAGGTCTCACATAACTCTCGTGTTGGATTACAGTACAACTAACTTCCCATTAAATAATGGAATTACAGTCAAGTCGCCGACGGTTCAACTCACCAACGCCAACTCATAAAATCGAGTAGAGACTCAATCCAGTACAACTTATTAGAAGTTATACATGTAAAAATGTAAACGATCTTTAGTAAAAAAAAAAACATTTTTTTACTTCCAACAAAGTTTATAAGGATCTCAACGCGAATAAAGCATGATAAACATCGCCAATTACTCTAGCAGCTTCAGACGCAAATGAGTTAAAAACTTCGTTGGACACAAAAAGAATTGCATTTTACTAAAGACCTTGTCTAGAAAGCTAAGTTTTCTTGAAAAAATCTAACCGATCGTCATGATGAGGCTTAACAGCGCTGTTGTCTGGCCACAACAACTCGTTCGCGTCTGAAGCTGTTATGGTAATTGGCCATGTTTATCTTGCTTTGTTAGCCTTGAGATACCTATAAACTTTTACAGAAATAAAAAGAATTGCTTTTTACTAAAGCTCTTGTCCTGAAAGCCAAGTTTTCTGAAAAAAATCGGACTGATTGACATGATGAGTCTTTACGGCGTTGTTGTCACACAATAAATAACTCGTTTGCGAGAAAGAAAAAGAATATATTTTTTTTCTAAAGATTGTTAACTTTTCTACATGTTTAACTTCTAATAAGTTGTACTGGATTAAGGACCAACACGCTGACGTCCCTACTCGATTTTAGACGTCGGCGAGTTGGCATTGCCTAGTTGAACCATCGCCGACTCGACTGGATACCAAACAATTAACAAATGGCAAACACCACAGTGTACACTATTGAGTTATGGATGCACGTGGGAGGTTGCTAAGCATGAAAGAGGCACAAGAGTCGCTCGAGGCGATAGCCGAGAGCGACTCTAGCTTCTTGAGTGCTTAGCAAACCTCCTAAGTGCATCCATAACTCAATAATGTACGCTATGATGTTTACCATTTGTTTTATAACATAACATTGATACATTGTAGCTAAAGAGTTCCCTTTTATTTATCAAATCTTACGTGACCAGAAAAAACAAGCGTGCATGGAAAAATAGTCTTTGCATTTGCTCATGTCAGCAGTGTACACCCATGGGCAAATGGAGGACGCTAAATTGACCAATCAGAGTGCGTGCTTTAATTTGGTTATGTTATAATGAGGGCTTGACACAACTTTTCAATGTCCTAGCTAAGTGGCTAGTGACAACTTGGTTACGACAATTTCAGTTTGTTTACTAGCCAAACTGGCTGGTGGAAATCGAAAACCACCAGCTAAAGCTGAATTTCTACTAGTCTGCGGCTAGTTGGGTACCGTTAGTGTTGAGCCCTGATAACTGTACAATATTGCAGGATATTTGTATTTGTTGTACTCTACTAAGAGTAGTTGGCTTATACAAACTAAGTTACCTCAGTTCTGACGATGAGATGGCTCTTGGGAAAGCAGCTTTGGGAACACTTAACAGGCTACAAATAGAATTCTTCAGAATTTGCCTTCGAGAAATCTAAGTCAACATGTACTACTTACTTCTTCGTAGGAAAGGTATGTGATCATCTTCTACAAGATATCTTCTGTCCATTAGTCCAGGAATGAAATATGGCTGTTGACGCCCTGTTCTCTGCCCCGTGCTCAGTAGGCGACGTTCTGGTCAAAGCAACAAATATGCAAAATGATTTTAATACATGTACACTTTAACTATTTGCTTAGTTTAGTTCTTGTGTCTTTGTAGCATTTGTTAACTGGTCTTATATTGTGTGCTTCTTCTGTTTCTTATATGCGCATTAGATTATATGCATATAGATTTAAGCACAATATAAATAATAAAGTATTATTATTATAGAAGGTTTTATTTTGCATTCTGTAAACCTTGACTTAATTTGTTACTGTATCTTTTCAGTAGTAGTTCTGCATCTGTTAAGTCTAGTGTAGTGGCAGCAAGTTCCAGACACAATCATCTTTTACTGCCTTGCTTTTCTTTGTTTCACTTTGTTTTGTCTCAACTCATTTGGCTTTGTAAAGTCATTGAAATAATTCAGGTAGGGGAACACATATGGGACCATACCACAAGTGACACTGGCTCCTGGAAGAGAAGCCTGACCCTAGTGGTGGGGGAAGAATGGTTTCAACTTTGCACCATCCCCGCTCTTCTAAACACAATGTCTGATTACATTTCATATACACTTTATAAATTAAATATCAGATACAATGAATATATGAACTTCATATATTCATTGTATCTGATTTATCACTTTCATGGGTTTATTACGAATCAACTTAACGGCCTGCTCCCAGTTGGCTTGTTAGCTCAATTCGTAGAGCGCTGCACTAGTATCGCAGAGGTCAGTGGTTCGAATCCCGTACAGGCCTGATTTTTTTCAGGTCTGATTTTCGCTATTGCATAAATAGCGCTATCTACTGCGAGGATCATGCATCATGCGTAAATTAAATATCTTGTTTGCGATCAGCATATTCAGATTGAAATACACTTACCAATCATCTGTAATCTCTCATATAAATCATTTGTTTCTTTAAAAGTGTTATAAAACACTGGGTTAGCTGCACCAATCAGATCTAAGAGTACCATGGCATTCTGTTAGAAAAAAAAAACAAACAAAAAAAAGAAAAAAAAGAGAATTGTTGCTACTAATCAGCATGAAGAGAATGAACCCTTCTGAGAACTGTGCTTAAGGAAGGGAGGGAGGGGGGAGGGGAGAGGGGAGAGGGGTAGGGGGAGTGGGAACTGCCAACTGAAGCTATTACTTTTCAGTTACCCTATGTCTATGGTCTTATGTCTAACCAAGATAAACATTTAGATTAAACATTATTAATGTTCTGTCCTTTTCCCTAACAAAATAAGCCTCTCTCCCCTTGGTTTTCTGCAGTGAATCATTTCAGGTGTGTCCATAAATGATTGAAAGTGACTGCCATGTAACAGGGCTCAACAGTAACTTTTCAACTTACTAGCCAAGTGGCTGGTGACATCTTAGATACTACAACAATGCCAGTTCATTTACTAGCCAAACTGGCTTGTGGAAACCAAAAACCACTAGCCAAAACCGAATTTCTACTATAGTCTATGGGTAGTGGGCTACCGTAAGTGTCGAGACCTGTACCTTAGATTATGTGCTAGGTATACTTTCGTCGAGTCTATATCCTATAAATCTATTTCTCTTACATTTCTAGCAAACATGTTCTGATTCAAGTCACCTAACCGTGACTGATAAAAAAAATTTAGCTCTCTCAAGTCAAGTTGAAATAGTATTGAAAAAAATCAGGAAAAATTTACATACCAATCACTCATGGGTATTTAATGATCTCACTCCTCCAAAAGAAAAAAGTTTTGAGGTAAGAATTACTTACAATTGTGTCTATCATTGTAGAATTTGAATTTGGTGGGTGAGATGTTTTGCTCCACATCTCTGCAAGATGTCGGGAGCCGTAAAGTGAGTCTGTATCACTCCAATCGACCCATGCTTCTTCACCATCAAAGAACACCATTTGCAATGTTGCATCTGATTGCTATTAAGAAAAAAAATTAAAAGATCTCATCTCTATTCCTCACCCCTCTTCCTGCTCTTAAACTCTTGTGCCTAGGGAAGCAGGGATGGTGCAGTGGTGAGAGTGCTTGCCTCCCACCACTAAGCCCCCGGTTCAATTCCTGGACCTGGTGTCACATGCGGGTCGAGTTTGTGGTGGGTTATCTTCCTTGCTCCAAGGGTTTTTCTCAGGGTCGTCCGGTTTTCCTCCCTCCACAAAAACCAACATTCCAAATTCCAATTTGATCTGGAGTTGAGTGTTTTTAACATGAGCCACCGGCTCAGAAGATTGGACAACCACTTCCTACATTATCGACTTTAAATAAATCTTTTATTTAGAATATTTATACCTCTCCCCTGTCACACTTTTTCCCCCCCTCACATTAGCATCTAATTTCTCCTTACAATTAAATCACCCCTAAATTACGCATTAATGGTCACAAGAATTAAGGAAATGATCACCAACTAAAGAAACTCTTGATTGTTGAACAAATTCACCTTGTCAGCTCCTTACTAAATGTACAGAGAACATTGGGGAGAATACGTAAACTGATGTTAGGGTGTAAAGAGTGAAACCTTCACTTGCTGCTTCTAATGCGAACATTACCCCAGAGGGCTAAAATCAACTTGAATTACAATTGTCATAATTCCTTACAATCCTTCTTTCTGCAATAGTAACTGGCTTCTAATTTCTCCTTGCGCTATCACTCTTGAATTGAACAGGTCATGGGAATAAAGAAAATGATCACCAATTCAAGAAGTTCAAGAATGTTCCATACAGTACCTCATCCTCATCTGCAGAAACATTTCCTTTTTGCTGTTCCCGTGCTTTGAAGAAAGGGGTAACAATTCTGGCAATTTCAATCAACATTGCACAAGGCATTGCTGAATCTGTGGCACCAAGAAAGTATCTGCCCGGCATGTATTTAGAGTCATAATGTGCAGCTAGGATAAGCCTTTTTTTTGCATTGGGGTTAAGTGTGGCCACCACATTGGTGAAGCGCTTGGTATTGTAAGGAGTGGAGGCATCAAATTCGTCCAATGTGACCGTCCAGTTGAGGTTTTCAAATGCTTTCTTTATAAACTGAAATGAAGTCAGAAGGGAAGATATCGTTAGAGATAAACTACGCTGTTAAAAATAATCTACATACTGGGTACCTCAAACTGAGAGTTTTTGTTGTTGTTATTGTAGTTAATCCTGTCCAAGAAGATTACAGTTTTAACTCATACTGTTAACTTTAATTGGAACAGTTCAGCTTCCTGCGTGGAGTTTTCCTATTGCCTTTCTCAGAAAAAAAGGTTTTTTTTTACTTACCATGTTTGTGATCCAAACTTAAAGTTAAAGAGAAATTTGAATAGGATATCATGTGTTAATAACTTAAAATGTTATTTGTCTTTTTTTCCTTCTTCTTATGACTAAAATTCTATTTCAGGCAAATAATTATGATTTTAGGATGCCAAATGGCAACTTTAGGAAAATTAGCATAGTACCCTGCATACCTACCAAAAACAGTAGAAACTTCAAATGTTATAATTTTCAAGTGTAATTGTAGTTAAATATTACACAAGGTTTTACAAATAAACTAAAAACAATATTACTGTAATTTCTGGCCGTTTACCCGCGGGTAATCTGTTGATTTTGCCTTAAACACGCGCCACTGCGGGTAATAGGGAGGTGTCGGTTATGTGACAATTTTGAAATCTAACCTGCATTTCCACCTCTCAAACATGATGCCAACTTGAGTTTATTTCATGCACAAGTAGCTGTGTGACGAACAAATTTTTATTGGCACGTGTGTAAACAAAACCTTGATGGTGACAAAAATAATCCAAGGGTATTCGGCCCATCAGTAACAAATTTCCAGTTAACACTAGCTTGAGCTGAAGAGAATTTTCCCATTTTAAGGGACTTGTCAAGCTCAGTAGAACCGGTGATATTGATTTTTTTGAGAAATCAACAATTCAAAATGGCATTGAACGATCGCTCACACAAAATACGGCCACGAATCGCATTCTGTCGAGTGTGAAACATTGTGAATTCTAGAGCCTTTTTGTACAAATTTTCTTTGCTTTTAAGGTGCGGGTTATCCACCAGTGCAGGTAATCGGTTGACTTTTTTTTCTGCCATATGTAATAATCGGCCGGTGCGGGTAATCGGCCGGAAATTACGGTACACTGTTTAGCAAAGTAGGAAGGCATGTTAGGTACTTTTCTGAGAAAAAAAAATAACACTTTATGCAAATCAATTTTCCCTTATGGCAAACCATATGGTACATTTAATAAAAAATTGAATTGTATTTGAATTGTATTTCAATAAATATGATGAATTACCCCTGACAAAACTAATAACATCCTGATGAGATCAAACAGAATTAGCAAAAACCTACATTGTCAATTTATACAATTTGACAAAATTGATAGGCAAGACTTGAAAAACAAATAATTATATTGCAAGCATTTTCATCAAGTTATTGTAATGTAATTCATATAATTCTGAGAATGTCCCTGCTCTAAACTTCTATACACATTTTGTTAGGACATAATCCATTTCTAAAGAGGTGATTTGATAACTGTAAACATGGAAGAATTTTGAATTCAAAGTTGTGATAATATACCATTCCCCACCCAATGTCAATCAAGATTTTTTTGTCAAACTATATTGTCTCTTTTTCAAATTTCCAGTCAGTTTCATGTAGTAAACAGCAAAATAGGATATCAAAAATTACCAAGCTTCCATCTTTTCATTTAATTTACATGGCATGCCAGTTTCCAAGCTGACAAGGAAACGACAAACCTTGTGATCAGAAATAAAGGAAATGAAACTATAAACTTCTTTATTTGAGTTTCTAGAAGTGATATTCTACTGTCTCATAAATTGTAATTAATAATTTCAGCAATAATATTTATTTCAAAGTGGAAATCTATTTTCACAGTAGTTATAGTTTAGAGTAATATCAAATAAAATTCATAAACTGATTCTTTTTCTTTGCGAATCAACCTCATATGAGAACTCGATCATTTATATCGTGTTTCCTAATAATGTTTCTATGTAATGGTTTCGAAAAATTAACAAAATTCTGGGATATCTTTTCTTAAAACGGCCCTTATCAGTAATAAATTTCATCTCCTATCAAAAACATACAGACTTGGTTTAATTTTGAATTTTAAACAAAAGAATACAGGAAAGTATTTTTTTCACTACTTTTTTCTGCGAGGGGTTAATTTGAAAAGCCAGGCAATTTTGCGGCGCTTGTTTTCATAATTTGTTTATACGGTTACCGCTATGGGCAATTATCGAGAAGAATTGCTTTGGGGAATTCCATTCTTTTCAGAATTATCATTATTTGGACTTACACCCCGCGTGTTACTTTTTATGAGATTATAATCGAAAGGCCGAAATACTTTTGGAATGGAAATCTCCTTGAGTGCTTCTAATTAACCGCTATTTCAATATTTAGTCAAACCGAGGAAACTGACCCGAGGTAGAAAACCACAAGTAGATAGCGGTTGAAAAAAATTTATCTACAGTTCCAATCTAGCAATGTGATAAACAATGGTTAACATGCACAGCTGAACAAGATTGAAGTTGGCCGTTTTGCAATGCTTCCGAAAACAATTTTAGTAAGGAAAACTGTCAGCCGTGTAAATACCTGGAATATTGTATTACATTCGAATATTGGAAGCATTTCAATTTCAAATCCGATGCATTTAAAAAATCGCAACGCAGCTCGATTTGTTTGATCGCTTTGTTGACCTAACAGGTAGAGCAGTAACTAAGTATAAAGAACTACGATTGTTTGTAGAAATGAATTAAACAGGGTCCTATAGGGAAATAGATTCCCTCGAAATACGCTTCGTGAAATATGAGGAGCGCAAATCATAGCGTCAGTTCGAGTAGGAAAAGCCACATTTGGTTTTATCAACGGTCACTCCGCGAATGGCAATTAAGACAAGTGGGTCGATTGTTTACTCAAAAACGCTACTGAGGTGAGTCTTGCCGTTTTTCTCTTACCGTTTTGACTTTGTGATGCCCCTGTGTTCCTGGGTATCGGACGTGATAGAGTCCTTTAACGAAAGTATCACTGTAGAAAGCATCGTAATCTGTTCTCTGGGCCAAGTCGTTTAGTTTTGATTCAGGAAGAGATCTCGGCAGAGGATGTTCGGCGATTCTCTGATCAAAGAAAAGAATTGAAATGTAACAAAACAAATTTATGCAGAACAACTATCGATAAAAGAATAAAATCAACGATTGAGTTATGAATTCTCGTCGAGGAGGAAAACGTCGGAGACAGGCAGGCGATCTATACGAGAACTTACCTTTCCATTGCCTCCGCCACTACACCACGAAAATTTCGCGGAGTTTATCAAAATAAGCACTAAAGTCCACCACATTCTACGCTTTGCAGTATACGACGAAGGTGTCTCATTAACTGACTTACGAAACCATCTGCCCTACCATTTTAACATCTTCAAGTAATTGATTACAAAGGTTATTTGTCTTCTTATATCATTTGAGCGCAATCTGCCTCGTTCTGGTGCTGACCTGCTGAAGGCTACAGCACGCGCGCTTTCTTACAGAATTTCCTGTCTAGGAGGTTTCCTGCTTTGAATGTCGTATTTTTTATTTTCGTTTTCTTAAGGGTCATCCAAAGAAGAATCAGTTCCAATATTGCCTAGAATAGCCATTATTTATTTATTGAAAGGCATCAACAATTTTGCCGCTTTAATTGCGGTGACGCCTCCATTGTTTGGCAAAATCCGAGGTCGAAAAAGCTGAGTGCATGGTTCATTTATGAGATTAATGATTCTTTATTAGCTGTATTTGCTTGCGTGTATGATCGAGATAAATTCACTTAAGGAGGGTGAGAGGAAATTGAAAAGGGTGTTAATGGGTCAGCTGTTCTCTCAAGGTTGTCTTATTTTGCTCAATTGCATTGATTCAAGTCTGCCAAACATGGTAAACATGGCAAAGATGAAAGGAACTCTGTCATATCCGTTCGGGAGATCACCCCACCGCATGACGTCTTTTATGCAACTCGACATTTTTCCTTCCTTTTCTCAACGAGCAAGATAAAATAAAGTTTTGTTCAATGACAGAGTTGTCAAAAACTACCCAGTTTAAAGCCCTTAAGCACACCGTGCAGTTCCTACGGTCACCGTTACATGTCAAAAGAATCCAATGTTTTGGATACAAAACCAGCATTTTTCGCCCGCCTTCCTCCCTTTTTTTTTTATTCGACGTGGCAAGGAGGACCAGAGCTTAATTTAGCAGCCTTTTGACTGAATACCTTTGCTTGAAATAGCAATTCTAAAAAAACAGGAACACGAGAGATAGTCACGGAAGGCTGAACATAACAGGGGAAACCGTGAATCCAAATGTAGATATCGAAATGAAACGACGTTTCCTTCTCTCGGCCTATGGGTTAAAACTTGGCTCGCGTCGGTTCTTTGCTTTATCAGCGATTTTGATACATCCGCAAAGGAGCCAGCTTAGTTTAGTGCGACTTCAAAAGGATATGAAAATTGTTCTAAATAACTGTTTTTCTGAATGATTTTTGAAATTGCCAATTATTTATCGCATCTCATTAACGGCTCAAGTAATACTTCCTTATTACTAGGGATTGAATCACTGATCAAAATCTTCGCTTTACGTCAGCTATTTATCGCCCAGAGCTCTTATAACTTGCTAAGCAATGATCGTCAAGATCGATTTTTTGCTGAAATCACTAAAAAATTAAATGTTTTCGACTACCAGTAAATAGAAATACTGTGCAATATTTACTACGTGCACTACAAGCCACGAATTTCCAAATGACTTGTGTGAAATGCGTGTGTTAGAAACAATTGGCAAATTAGAGTGGGGTTTTCGATTGATTATCATCACCTTTCTATTGTACTGATGGAAAATCGTTTATTTCCCAGCCTGTTTGTCAGCTAAATGTTTATTTTTGATTCAGAACGTGGGGTTGTCGAAAACCCCTCTGCAGCAGATCAAAGTAGGTGCTCGACTCAAGTCATAAAATCAACAAATGAAATAAAATAAACTGAAAGAAAAAGTTGCTGCCCTATTCTAGACAGACGCTTGCTTTCGGGAACAAACATGAAATTTGGGCGGCACAAATTTCATTATTTTATGAAGGGCTGAATAGTACGCATTTGGAAACAAATGGGGTAATTCATTGCGGCTATAATTTACCGATGGACGACTATATATTCTCCATTTTGTTATGATGCATAGCAGATTGCTTCCTTTTAATTAAGATCGCGTGCTTGTTACAAACTATGCTGAAACAGAAAAAATTATGATTTAGACCTGACTCAGAAAATATGATTCTCTACCTCTTGAGCTATTACAATAATTTCCTAACAGATGCTTGCTCGCGACAAGCTGAGACACAGGCGGGACTCGTGTGACATGGTTTCACATTGCTCATAATTGTTGTTTTATACCGAACGATAAGCAAAAAATGTCCAATTTTTTCTGTGAGCTGACTCGCTCCATGTCTTCTTTTCGAACCATTGGTAGGCTGAAAACTAAAATATTGGAGGCCAATAATGATTTCCGGACTAAAATCGTAAAAAAGAAAACCACCCCACCTCGAATTTAATTGAATTATTGCAAATTAAAACAACAGAAGGATGCCAAGGGTTGCAGCATGAATTGTCCAGAATATTATTGCATTTCTGGGACACAACTGGGGTATTTTTTTTTATTTTTATTATCATTATTACAATCAACCGGACAATCATACATTCGCCAATCTGTTAGTAAGCAAAATGTATTATTTTAAATTTTGACCATGAACCGGCTTAAGACTGTACCGTGTAACAGATCAATACACGATTTCGACCAAAATCATAAAAAGCAAACCTTTCTGAATCTCAACGAATGCTTGCTCGCGTGGACAAGCTGAAAATATGGGTGGAACGCATTTCGTCGTGTCGAAAGCTCACCAGTGCGTAAACTGGGTGTTTTATTGATTCGAATTACTGTTTTATTTTGCGACACACAATCATATTTCTTTTCAATTCATTTGTTAGCAGATTGTTTTCTTTTAATTCCAACTGTGGGCTATTATTGCTTGAACGCTAATTCCTCGCCAGGATCTGTTTTAATTATTTTCAACAATTCCCTAACTAAATTTACCCCATTGAAATAAAAAAGGCTTCAAACAATAATCTAAAGAAAAATAAACCATGATAAGAACGCTCTTTCAGTCATCAGTCTATTTTTCCTTCCGATGACAAGCTTTGAAATTTTTTTTCCGTCCCCTAATTTTGTCGGCATTTTCCAGGGAATCAAAATCCTCCAGGTACGTTCGTGCGGGATAAATCTTCATGAGCTATGTCTAAACCGGTAGAAGCGATGGTAGAAACCGATTGGAATTCATTGTCACCCACTGTTTCACATGAATATCCGCACGACAATATATTCAGTGCTCCAAGAAAACACATTTTTGAACAAAAGTGTGAATTAAAATAGACAATTCTCTGGTCAACAAACACTCTTGGGGAACTCTTGATTTTTTATTTGTTATGTATATGTCGCTGTATTTTACAATGATCTAAACCTTAATTCCGAATTTCTCGATCCAGTTTTGAATTCAGCTCAAATTTTTATGTCACTCCTAGATAAAAAAAATTAATTAAGCACACCGTTGGACCTAAAAATTGTGCATCTGCTCGCCGTTTTAGAACACCTGAATGTATGTCACCTCTTCTTTAGTTAGTATTCACAGGGGGAAAATTTTTCGGCTGTTAAAAGATTTCAGAAGACGACGAATTACGTAAACAGGAACCGTACCATACAGCAGTTGTACGGGAATGAAACAATTGTGATAAACATACTATTTTTTATACTTTTGCTGATTTTTTTTTTAGAACAAAATGGAGGTCGAAGGAAATATGTACGTCGAAACGACACAAACTTCACCATGCTAGACAGAACTCTGTAGCGACGCAGCGACTTTAATTTATTTTAACTCGCGTTTAGTTAGAAGTATACATATGATCTTTTGCGTCCATAAAATTCAATGACAAAAATGACAATTTACTATTGGAAAAATTGATCGTAGCATATTTTTTTTGAAAAATGATATCCTTCGCGAAAAAAAAATATCTTTGAATAAGCTCAGTTTCCAAAATGACTGGTTCTAGAGCGCACCATTGTCTTTACAATCTTCTTTCTTTACCGAACAGTTTGGGACAGAATATGCCATAAACGAGGCTTTATCATGGAATCGTATTTGAATTGCAATGAAAAGTAAATCGGCGTTATGAGATTCTCCTACGTAGATGGGGGAACAAAGTTAAATAAACAAACTCTTTTCATTTGGTTTCTGACGCAAGGGTTGAATTTGATTGCCCGTGCAAAATATCCGGCGCAGATAGGAAAATAACAAAATTTTCGCCGTTAGGTTTTAAGGAGAATGAATAAAAACATCAATAAATTGATTGTCAAAGTGAGAGGCCTTTTAGATGATAAATAATATAAACCGCCCGTCATAATATACGTCATGCATGATATTTCCCCCAGCTTGATTCATCAAACTGTGCTATATACAAGAGCCCTTCGCTCGGGAGATTGGGTGACCACTCCCAACGTTATCGACTAAAAATAAAGCTCATTCACAACTCTAAGTTAGTTTTTAAAAAATGTCAGAGAAATATGCCTTGAAAATATTGAACTGAATTTTGTAATTTCTAAGATCATACTGTTATCCTGTTAACTTACTTTTTCCAAGAAAGGATAAAGTCTGTTTTCTCTTGGATTTTTTTCCCATTGTTCACACTTACTTTTGTTGTTGCTGATGTTGTTTTTCTTTCGAAGAATTGTCCATTGTACTTTTCTAGACGCTCGACGCGTAATTGTCCTTTTCCAGAAGGACACGTATAGCTGAGAAAATACATCTAAAATAAAAATGAAAATTAGCCTAAGGAGGGTACAGATTGTGAGATAGTCATATAGGATATTCTCTAGATTTTTTTTTTTCGTTCTGTTTTACTTTTCATCTTTTTTTAGCGCGGCCGTGCTCAGATCCTCTTTTCTCCTCTGACTCTCTACCACAAAGTTCCTGGCTTCCATCTATCAGAAGACTGTTATATTGAAAACGTCGCCGAAACCTGAATCCATTTGTTGTGTAGAGGAAACAAACCTCAGACCTACAGATTCCACATTCGATAAGAAAACTAAATTACACGTTTCTTTCTTTCAACCATCTTTCTCATTTTCAAACCTCTCTGAGCCTTCAGTGGCCATTTGCAATTATTTTACAACAGCTTGTGGATTTTTTCCTTTTTATCATTCCTTCCGAGTTAAATGTAATAAAATTAGCTATTATAGTGGCAATAAATTAGAAAAAGAGCACATAAATCAGAAAAGGTGCGAGCCAAGATCCCTTCTTTAGCAAGGGCAATATTTTTAGAGCAGAATTCGAATTTAATAGAGATCACATCACACGCGGGGCTATGATTCCACTCATCATTAAGCTGTGAGCTTTGCAAAATTAAAGCTCAGCCGTTAAAGTTCTAAGTGCCATCTGCTTAAAATCCATAAAGATCCTCGCTCACTCTATTTCTTTTCTTTTTTTTTTTTTTTAATGTAGAATCCAGGTTTTCGCATGTCTTTCAGAAAAAGGTTTAGCTCGTTGAGAAGACGGGAATATCATGCTGAGTGGGAAGTAACACAAGACAATTGTTTCGATCTTCTATTCGACCAAACTAAGAACATGAGAGAAACATACTGCTTTGCAATTTCATGACTTCTTAGAGATGACTGTGACCTGTACAGAAGAGATTTCTACTTGTGAGATGATTCGGATATTTGATATTTCAAATGAGTTCGAATGCGGACTTTGAGATTTCACGTTTGTTCCACTGACATGTAGAGTGATAATTAAAACGATTGTAGCAATATTTTGTGACGGTTTTACCGTGCCGATTTTTTGACATACTTTCTCGCAAATAGAGGAAAGTCCACGAAATCCGCGAAAACACCACACAGCAAGGTAGTAAAGAAAGAGGCGTTCTCATCGCGGTTGAAAAAACTTGGTAGTGAAAGCTTAATTTATCTGAGCTTTCGGTTGTTAGTGGGTGGAGAATTGTTGACTTCCTGGCAAAAAGCCAGCAACA